TTAATAAATCGACGGTAGAAGTTGGCAAAATTCAAGAAACGTTAAACATCTTCGACCAAGATTGAATTGCGTCAATCTTTGATTCGTCACGTAGAAGACATTAAATAGCCAGGGAATTTTATAGTAGTTTTTCCAAATTCACACTTCTCTAGTTTGGCGTACAAAAGATGTTTGTGTAGTTTGATAAGCACTACAGAGTGCTTATCAAAGCACTAAGGAGTGCTAAATCTTCTCCACCATGCTTGTCATGCTCTTCTTGGTTTTTTGGAGAAGATGAGAATGTCATCCAGATAGAATACAACAAAATTGTCCAAAAGCTCGAGAAAAATGTTGTTCATGAGGTGCTAAAGACCGCAGGTGCATTGGTGATTCCAAAATACTTGATAGTGTATTCGAAGTCTATGGCAAATCATACATCTTTCACTTGTCTCTATGGCAAATCCAGACAAGGTTTTGACGCCCCAGAGTCCGCCAATCGGGAAATTTCTTTCTTCTTTGGAGAGTACAACCAAGGATCTTGGTCTTATTTATCAATTTGATACATGTTTCTCTGTTATGCATCTTTCCTGACTTCTTTTTATCAGACTGTCAAGGTCTTGGTGTCTCTTTTGCCTTTTCAGATTTAAGGTTTTATTTTGTCTGGAGTGTTGAAATCTGCAACCTTGCAAAAGTAGTTGTATAATATTCTCCGTTATGCAAAGCTCCAGGTGAAACAACACTTGAACTCTATAACTTTTGAAGTAAATGAGCTTCTAATGAGCTCATTCTGGATCTTACTCATGTGTAGGAGTACACTCAAGACCATATTGATTGGATTAGAGTAGATTTTGAAGACTCTATCTTGTGCGATGAGGCAGATCCTCTGTGCTTTTAGGTTTAAACTTTGTGGCATACATCGGACCATACAACTACAAATTCACAAACCACTAACACACCCTAGCTCTACTTACCTGCTCGTCCGCGATCGAATGGGACTGCTCATTAATCAAACCTAAGGTGACCGAAGTCATGAAGGTCCAGGTCAAATTGGTTTTGTTTAGTGACATCCCGGTCACTCGACGTTACAGCAGTTCAGCTAAGCAGAGAATCCAAGGACATTAGGTAACGACCTTTGTACTTCCAATCTTAAATACTTCAGATAGAAGATGCCTCTAGAATCTCAAATGGGAAAAAGGGCACATGAGAGTCACTCTAAGCACAGCACCAAGAGGGCACAACGAACGAAGCAGCGAGACCTTGGATTCTGAAACTCATCGTGTCTCAAGGTGATTATGATCCCAAAGTGGAATTTCAAAGTAGTGAATAGCTCTATAATTTTTCTCTGGGATGTGCTTTTCATTTCTGCTTTGGATGCGGTTGAGCTCGTCCATTGGTAATGATCAGGCCTCTGCTAACTTGGCATTTGCAAAATTTGTCATAACTTAGTCTATTATGGCATCAGCCAATTTTTATTTATAACAAATATGACACTAATTTTAATTTGCTTGAATTGCTTATAATGTATGCTTACTAGAGTGACAATATCATTAAGGAACATATATACTCATCTTTCTCTTAGGTAATCATGGAGAAATCACCCTCCACACACACATAGTTTCAGGATACACAGTTTGGAAAATCTAAGTTCAAAAGTAATCAATGCTTCATCAAATTCCACGGACTCTGGCATTTGATGCATTGTTTTGCAGAGTATATCTTCTCTTTCTAATTCTATCAATGAATACATTCTCAATTTTGAGATCAAATAAACGGTAGTAGAATTGTGTCGTTTACGTTATTATCCAAACACAATTGATCACAGGACTCAACAAAATGAGTAGGATAGTATTCAAAGAAAGTTAGTTTGACTCGTAACTACAGAGCATGATATTCACTCCATATTTGCCAAGTGCTGACTTTCAAGATGTGATTCCAGCTCTAGTCAATGTGGAACCTTAAAGTATTTTGTGATTCTAGCCCCACCTTCGCTTCTGTTCGATTATTTTTTCACCGCTCATACTTGGCAAAAGCTACAAAAACCCGATGTAACGACACCATACGTAAAGATCTTCGGCCCATAGTCAAGTTCGTGAGAGAGAGATTAAATGGCGTTCTGCATTTCTTTGAAAACATTTCATCAACGTCAACAGCGAACAAGAATGTTTTAATAGTGAACAAGAAAGAAAATAGACTTGTATTTCCATTCTTATTTATGGCATGACGCAAAAATTATTTATGACAAATATGTCATAGCACCCCCAAATGAAGAGACCTGGTAATGATTTATTATAAACTTCATTTTTCCGCATGTCTCAGGTTTGACTTGCGTATGACTGGCCGACCTCTAACCAAAGGTTAGAGTCGAGGAACTCGGCCGTGCGGTTGGAAGTTCCGATAATAATTGATGTGTTTGACCCGAAAAAAGTGATGTCTCCAGGTGGAAGGCAGAGCAAGAGGAGGCAGATACAAATTCTTTGGGTGGTTTGAGTATCTATGGAGATTTACCTTCCCCATTTGACCACTATTTTGTACCATCATGTCCAAGACCAGGTTCTATCTATATATAAAAAGAGAATCGAGCAGTTTCGGTTCCGTGGATGTGAAGATAGCATTATGTCACATACCACCTGGCCAAATTTTTGTCGGCCACCTATATTGTTACTGCATTGGCCACAGCCCACATCGGTTCCACCCGCCCCGATGTATTTAAATTCCTTGACTGGGACACAAAGCCCATTATATCAAAGACGTAAACCTGCACATATCAAGAGGAAAATAAAGCATAGAAATAGAGGTGGAGAGAACTGGAGCTATACTTGACAACAATAGTTTCTATCAATTTAATAATTGTGGTCAAGTCGTAATACATCGGAATGTAACCCCGGACCAAAGGATAACACGCCCCACGGGAGAATTTAAGTGTATTGTAAGGCCATAATCTTGGTCTATACTTTTTTTGCAGTGAACGCGTTTGTATGTTTGTGTCGTGAAGGTGTCACGTCACGTAGAGGCATACAGAGAAAGCCGAGAATCTAGGCTGAGCGTTCCTTCAAGTTCCAAGTATGTGAAACCGACAATTGCAAATGATACCGATTGAATATTTTTATTTTTCTTTAGAAAGGGGAACTTACCAAAAGATCTTCGGATGATCTCGGCCCTTCACAACCTGTAAACAATCACACCGACGGGTGAGATGTTCACGACGTGAGCGTGTATGGTTTGCCTCTGCTATTTATGGGTGGATCCTCGGATTTGCAGATACTCTATCGTGTTGTATTAAGCAGAGACGTCGTGTGCTTTCATTGTAAGGTATGTCTTGGATTTTGCTATACGAGCGAGTGTAAGGTTCGCGGCATCTGTAGCTTGCAGCCGAAATGAGATGCATAATTTTCAAGTAAAAGTCCGCAATGCTGGAAAAGATCTACAGCGCATTCCTCAGAGCTTGCTCGCAGTCAGAATCAATGACATGACATTATAGAGAACGGCCACGAATCAAACGATGGAGTTTACTACAGAGCCTGATACGAAGAAGTGATCTTACTGTTGTAATCATTGATGAAGAATGGCTATATCCATTTGATTTCTGTGCAAAAGGTACCCAATCATGGTGAACGACTGCTCCTATACTAGGCTCCAGTTCTTTCTCCGGAGACTTGAGGTTGTTCCTGTCATCCACTGCTTCACCGTGAAACTTGTATACGGTGCAAAACTTTACTGGAATCAAGAGATCAACAATGTCAAAGAACTTTCAACAATTCAAAGCGGTTCTGACGATTCTCACTACAAACGATGGAGATTCTAGAGGAATCAGGAATCTCCAACGACGATATTCCACCGATTGAGTACATCGGAAAAAAAATTCAGTTTGTTTGTAATATACACTGGAGAGTATGAATCATGGATACGAACACTCTTCTTCAGCGTGTTATAGACTATTGTAAATGAAGAAGCGAACTCTCTTCAACTGATCTGTTTATATATATATATATATACACACACAGGTAGCGAGGTTGCATCGGGGTAGCCCTGATGGACAACGGCCTAGGGACGCCGGAAATGGAAGTTGATGGAATGAACGGCCAAAATACTGTGAGTTCTGCCGGGGCTGTTTATGAATTATAGAGCACAAAATATTCTGAGTTCTCATCCATCAGGCTCCTTCAGTAGAGTTTCGTGGTGACCGAGACTAGGAGTGAAAACTGGCCAGGTGTGAATATGGAGCCTCAGGGCGTAATCTGATCCGAGTGGTGGCTCGTATTGACAGCTGCTGACTTCTGTTTTGACAATTTTATAAACGAAGTATCAGACGAACAAGAGTTCGTGCAACTAGAATTCTGTTGCCACTTGAGGGAACTGGCTGGTCCTGGAATCTTCGAGCGACCTCCCCACGTACCACAGCCATCGAAGGTCGTTGGATACACCCTTGAGCGTCGGCTTTGCATGGACAATCTCCTGTGAGCCAACGTTGGCGAGCACCTAACAGCTCGGAGCCACGCAACGGTCCATCTGCTTGCATCCGAGTCGTGCAGTCGCTTCTCCGGACCGGCTGCAGCTGAGAATCCGGATGCACTGTATACAGGCACGGATTAGGTGGCGATCCGAGCTTCAGTGGCACATCAACTGAACTCACGTAGCATTCGACAATGTCACTACCTGCGATTTAGCTTCTTCACGGAAGGCTCGAGCAAGATCTACAATCGATTCGCTTGGGGGCTCAGAATTTCCGGGCTCTTGCGACCACCGGAAAGGCGGCTGCAGTCTCGGGGTCTTGTCCTCGAAGGAGTTCGGGCGTAGCTCCTGCGCTAGATCGACCCCCGGTGACTCCTCCAGCTGGACTCCGCCGAGGCCCCCTGCCAAATCGGGCGCTGATGGAACTGCCGCCGGAAAGATGTGGCAGGAGCGGCCACGAAGCTTGGCGGGGAAGGAGCTTCATGCACTGGAGTGTAGGGAGCATGCTCCAGGCGCATAGAGGTTGCCAGCCCGTCTATTCTCGGACGTCCGCGAGCTTCGGCTTGTACCTCGACTCGCCATTGCAGCCACAGTGGTTGCCCTCCTTTAACTTCTTGCGCACCATCGCGCAATGATCCGATCGTACCCGGAAGCGTCGTCCGGACACGCCTTCTGCTGGTACCACTTCGCCTCTCGTTACACGCACCGATTTATGCTCTCGCATCATTCTCCCATACTTAGTTCCGGCTCGTTGCCACTCTCACCAGCCACTACGTACCATCACAAGTTCAGACTTCTTGCCTTCCGATCCGCTGCATTTCAGCTGAGCCTTATTCCCTAGGCCCGTCCATCAGACGCTAGCGGCAAGTTCTGAGCTTTCATCTCTCCGACAGTGCGAGTTTTGCAGCGCAGAGACAATTCTCCAGGTAGGTGGAGTACGAGAATCCTAGATCTGGAGTCAATGAAATTTCCGTCGTCCGCGATCGTTTTCGTCGTAGAACTGGTGGATCCATGCTCATAATCTTCAGAATATCAGCGTGCATCGTATTTCTGTATGTCGCGGGATCATTCGAGTACAGGCTAATGAGAGAACCACTGAGTCGGTGAGGCTGCGAATATTCGCATTTATATAAGAGGATGTGGACATGGACGCTGAATCCAAGTCCCGTCCACGATTCCTCTCAGTCTGAACACTGACTTGGCTGCTACCTGCTCAGACTCAATCTCCAGAGCTTCCAGTGCTGGGTCGTATCGGAAGAGAAATCTAACGAGAAAAGAGTCGAACATGGCAGATCTAATGAACCACCTCAACAACTGAGCATTGGCGAAAGATTTCGTCTGTAAGGCTGTACTAATATTCCCGCTGCGCATGCATTTGTCCAGATAAAAGTCGACGACTGTGAAGATTCTGGAAGCTGCAATGTCGATCACAACGAGGGCGGCATTTGTAGCCCTCGTCTCGTTATTAAGTCTGACGGCAGCGCCGTCAGCCGTTCGCGGGCAAGAAGGCGATCTGCTCTGCCACTTGCTGCCGGTGGAGCAATGCGCCTTCGCTGTGGACTCGAACGGATATAGGTGTGTCTTGGAGAGGATTCTGTCCGACGACACTTACATCTGCCAGGTACGCCAGCTTTCTGCTGAGCTCGACGCTTTAATGTTGGACGTGGATCATATGAAATTCTCGATGTGTGTCATGGAGCAATTAATTGACAATCGTTGCAATGCAGACTTCGTCCATCTCCGTGGGCGAGGAGAGCCCCGTGGAGTACATCGAGACAGACCACTGCATCGCAGCGTGCGGTGCCGAGCGGATGACCGTGGGCTTCTCGACGGACGTGTTCTCCACACGCGGCTTCACGACCAAGTTATGCTCGCCTGACTGCAGAGACCGGTGCTCCAACCTCGCGGACCTCTACAGCAACATGGTCGCCGGAGAAGGTACGTCGTTGCTCAGTCTTCAGTTCTCGAGAAGCCTTGTCGAATGCTGAATTGGGAGTTGTCATCTTCCGTTCCCGCATCTGACGTTCCACGCTGCTTGTCTGTGCATTTGCGTCCGTCAGGTGTCACTCTCGCGGAACTCTGCGGCGAGCATAAACGGAGCATGCTGATGAGTGAATACAGTCACGAGTACTACGATGACATGGCTCCCGCTCCCGCTCCCGGCCCTGCTTATGGCGCCCCTGCCCCTTCTCCTTCAGACTCGGAGTCTGACTGGTACTAAATGTTCGCAAAGCGAGCCGCTGAGTGGAACTCAATGCTCAGCTGTCGTCTTGTTGGAACAAAAGGAGGAAAATTTTGACATTTTTATTGTTCATCGTTATCATGAATCTGAAACGAATTTAATTGGCTGTTCATCTTCACTCACCTCCGCCGCACTAGGAGCAGAAAAAGTGGCGTTTGCAGGACAATATTGGTGAAGAAGACTCTTTTTTCTTGGTCATGCTTCCCATTTGCGTTCTCGAATTGTGGCGAGATGAGGAACTCTTCTCGAGGCGTTAAGCGCCGGTCTGTGATCATTCGCTGTTCATATGTAGAAAATTAATAAAACTTATGTCATTTATTTATTCGTCGACATAGTCCCGCTTCTTTTTTTGATTCCGTGTTGTATGCTTGTTGCTGTGTCGACATCCGATTGTTCGTCTGCTACACAATTTAAAGCAGAAGAAAATTTTATCGATTTTTGTTTCTAAAGTTCATTCTGGACGCAGAAAGTGGTTTGTTTTATTTAGGCAATCTCTAGTTCCAGTGCATATCTTGGGTATTGCGTGAGTTTTCAGGTAGTCTTGCAAACATGTATTATTCTACACATTTTGAAATTGATAGAAAAATGTGTAAAAGCACGTAGCCGATTTCTGTTACTATTATCTCTGAAATGGAACATGCGAGTGTTGCATTTGTGAGTGAAGCTCTTGCTTTGGAGTCATATGCAGTAGAATGACAAAAAGTAGTGGAACATCCTATGATGAAAGAAAAGATTGCATGAATCATGAATTATGTAAAGGTAAACCCATCCTTCCAGATACATGATAAATCAGTTGAAAATAATAAAAGTCAAACTGATCAAACTATAAAAATAAAATTTGATCTTCACTTCAATGTGACCAAATATGATCAGTTCAATGTAATATTTTTGTTATACTAGCAGGTGCTTTCATCATGTTTCCACCATGTCTCAAATTTGCACATCTCCATTGTTCAAAAGTGATTCAATTTTTAAAAAAATATGTAGAAAAAATGTATGCATAATCATGTGGTCTTTTAATCAAACATTGACTTCATTCATCTATTTGAATTTTTCAATGTTGTCATCTAAATTCTATCTTATTTTTCATACCATCACAACTCCATCTACAAAATTTGTGGAAAAATTATTCAACTTTCAACTTCAAAAAAACCATAAATTCATTCTTAACGTTACATGGATAAAAAAACAAATGTCGTGTCTAACTAAAAGTGGGAATAAATCATAATCAAATTTTTCTATTGTTGTATTCATCTTCAACTAAGAAAAGTTTACTATTTGAACAGTAAAAACTTCAACTACGGCTAAAAAAATTATTGATTCTTGTTTCATGTTCTTTTTATCAAACATAACTTTATTAAACTTATCTTCTAAAGTGACAAATTTGACTCTAGTTCAGAAATTATTTTATGGGGTTTTTCTGATATAATTACATCATCTATGTCAAATTATGTTGGAAGTTGCAGATTATTGCAAAAATGTTGTTAGCATGAAAAGAAGTAATCATTTTTAATCATTCATGCTTAAAGGTTTTCATTTCAGATCTAAATAATATGATGATTTTTATAATCAAAAATCATTACAAATTTATACATCAATACATAAAAAAACAGGGGAAATAGGAGATGGGAAAGTGTTTAAAATGTTTATGGAAAAATTTTCATGACGATGTCAAATATTGGTTCAGTTTGCTTTTATCCACTTTGAGACATTCCCAAAATTGAACAGAGTCCAAAACAATAAACTCCCCGCAAGCATGAAGGTTTCTGCACTGTGATACAATTTCCCTGTAATTAAGGGTCCAAAGGACTGAATGGATGTGTTTCGAACCTTATTACCCTGTTTATTAACGCTTGTGTCCTTGCTTCTTCAGTTTCACCCGTATCTGATGTGATAAGAGTTCGGACTGGTGAGTTTTCCCGTACTTTAGTAAGCTCGAGGCATATCGCAATCTTTCTTAATTGTGACAAACCAGTTGAGAAGAGGGCATGCATTGTAGATGGTTATGTTTTATGGTCTAATTTCTCCACTTTGCAGGCGAGCGTGGCCTGAGAGCGGAAGGAATGGGTGGAGGTCGAGCTGAAATACTGGGAGTTGTTGAAAAATGACCATATTTGTAAAGATCATCATCTCAGTCATAACCTGTATATTGTGATAAGGGGAGAGTCAACAAAGTCTCTGATCTATGGCAATCGGAATCAACTCTATACCTTCTTTTCTTTATGTTGACATTTGACGGAGTTTCAATTAGCCTGAACTGACCACAGAAAACCTACCGAGATGACTGAAGAGAATAGACACTCATAGGCGTAAATAGGTTGTTCCCTAAAGATGGAATGTCTTGTAAAATCTTCTTCACTCTTGGCGGCTAGACAACGACGTCGTCATTTGTTGTTTCAAATACTCTTTTATGACTACTCGGCCGAGAGATGTTAGTTGTCCCTCCACTTGCACATCTGATTGCACTTTCTTGGATCTCGCAGAAACCACAGGCTGACTTTCACACCGACTGTGTAAAGCCTAAGCTTTATAATGTACAGGTTCGGAGTATTCAAATAATATACGCAAGTAGCAACGACCGAATCATCAACTATATAATTCACAACATTATTTAAAGGGTGCGGCTAGTTATCACTCATTTGGGGCTAATTAGCCCTCACCCTACCATAAGATGGGTGCTCATTGGTTGACTCGGGTTATAGGTTCCGTGTGGTGAAAAATAAACTTTGACATCTACGTTGAAGATGCTTCCTTGGCAAAAGCCACACAGTAATCATGGCTGTCACCTCCGCATTTGAGTAACCACGTCCGCTTTGGAGGATGTTCAGCCTGAAGGGGAGAGCACTGCAGATGCTGTGTTGAGTTGGTTCTAAAAGGTCAGAGGCAAACGTGGAGCATACTCTTGTCGTGTTCTCGAGTCTTGGATGTACCTATGCATTATGAGGTTTCGCATCTTACTTCGCGACATTGGTTGGATCCAAAATGATTTTGAGTACACGTGAATTTGACGGTCTAATGTAGATCAAGAATTGTGTGTGTTTAGTCGACATGAATATATGACCTGAATCTAATCAAGATTGACATTTGCAATGACGAACTTGTGTGATATTGAATGCTGGATCTTTTGGTATAGACGGGCTAAAACTTGTGTATTATAGTCTTGGGGTTATATATGGTGGCATGGGAACTTTGACTCCCTACGTGTTTTTGAACACGTTTGAAATTACTACTCACAACAGGAACGACATAGTTGGAACTATGTCTCTGATTTTTTGAACCCTTACGGTCATAGGTTTGATTAAGTATGTGAAGATCGTACTCAATGTCACGGATGCATCTTTGACGTCGATCAGAATGACGGAAAACTCGCAAAGTTTATTTTTCATCACACGAAATCTATAACTTGAGTCAACCAATGAGCATCCAGTGTATAGTAGGATGAGGATCAATAAGCTCCAAGTGAGGGATAATTAGCCAACTTCTATTTAAAATAGTTGCTTGAACTCTATAATATCACTCGATGAATGTGAATCATTGCAAAAGAGTTTACAATGTATAATAGATTACTTGTATGAATTTTGCTAACATTGAAATTGCTAATAGAAAATTTCTAACTTTTAAAGTATTAGCATTATATAGTAGAGGACTCGTCAATTCAAATTCTAAAACACAAAAGATCTTAATTCATTCCTTATCACTACATGAAAATAAATATGATTAAAACACAATGAAAAATTGTCACAATTGAATATGAAATAATATGATAATTCATGAAAAAACATGATACTTTTGAGTCTCCCCGTATTGACGAGGGAAAATTTTTTCTCACGAATGTTGTTGTGGAAAAATTTAATCTTATGATCATTAATGATCAGTCACAAGAAGAAGCACAAATGCATGTGAAGCAATTTCTTGAGTAATATGAACTACAAGAGCAGATTATCAGTGATGAGCCTATTGCAAAAGTATCATATGATAGAGATCAAACGTAAACATCTACTATGAGATAACAATGTTCTAGTAGAGCTTTTGAGAGATTTGATGTATGGGCCAACTTGTCAATTCTCAAAGATTGTGACTTTGATTTTGAGTATAAGGATGATATTGCGTTGATCTTGGAAGAAGATGAACTTTCTTTATACAAGAAAATTCAAGCTTTGGTCAACACGCCTGAGTGAAATGCTACTATGGAGCAAGAGATGTAGTTACTGATTGACAACAAGATTTGGAAGTTGGTTGAGCTTCCTAAAGATCAGAGACTGATTGAGTGTAAATGGATGTACAAGCTGAAAGATAATCCAGTAGAATATGACGCAAAAATCTTCAAAGCCAAGTTGATGGTTAGAGGTTTCACACAAGAGAAGTATGTGAATTACAACGAAGTTTTTTTGCATGTAACAAAATATGCTACAATCCGTTTGGTATGTGCATTGGCCGCAATATTCAATATTGTTATGGGCCAGATGGATGTGATTTACAGTAATTTTTTATGGATATTTTGAAAATGAGATCTACATGAGACAATTTTGAGATCAAAGATCAAAAGAAGTTGGTTTGTAAATTATTGAAATCATTGTATGGACTGAAGCAAGCTCCTAGCCAATGGAATACAGGTATTAATGAATTTATGAAGGCACAAGGTTTTTTAGTATGCGTGTATAATCCTTGTGTCTACATAAAGAAGGTGAATGATGAAACATTCAATCATCTCATTTTCGTACTCTATGTTGATGATATGCTTATCTTGGAGTAAAACCTGTGAACTATTTGACTTTGACTTTGACTCAGACAAAACCTGTCATAAACTCCGAATCAAAAACTAGCTTTGATACCACTTGTAAACATAAAATTTGAGATTCATCAATGACAAAATAAAAACACTCAAGCCATCAACACTATAGACACCAGCGTATAACATGGTTCATCCTCAAGAGCTATGTCCACGAGGAATACAGGCAAGATTCTTTACTACTCAGATGAACAATGTGCGCAGCACTAAAGCATCAAGATATATATATACTCAACACAAGCAACCAATCACAACTATAAATAGCTACACATGAAGTTACTCCTTCACCGGAGTTAACCTCAACAGATACCTATGTGAACATAATATATGAATTTTCATCTAATTCTAAACCATCCAATAAAACTTGCTTTTAAAATCATATAACATCATATAAATTATATATTTTTCATACTTTAAATTGTATTATCTTTTGAAATCATAAGTTAAAGAAACATTTGTGCAATCTATCTCTTCATTAAATTATTAAACCTTTCTTTATAATTAAATACCATTCAGATCTATAACACTCTGTATTGCTC